GGCACTGGGCACGGGGGGGGCGAGGGGCTGCTTTTCCCCCATACTCAGCACCAGCTTGTAACCCAGCCGTGCACCAGCTCCGGGCTCGCCCATCAGGGCTGCGCCAGGCAGTGTTTGCTGCTGCTGCCCAGTGCGTGAGCTCCAGATGGGCAACAGCAGCAAACACTGCCTGGCGTGGCAAGTGGAGGGGCAGCAGCTGCTGCCGCTGCAGCGCAGCCCCAGTGAGCAAGCCTGGAGCCAGTGCAGGGCCCAGGCTGGCAGCAGGGCTGGGTTACAAGCTGGTGCTGAGCACGGAGAAAAGCAGCCCTTCACCTGGCCTGTGGCTGCCGCTCCCCACTCCAGCCACTCACAGCCCACCTGGGGCTATCTGTGCCTGCTCAGGACAGCCCTGCATGGGCTGCGAGTGGTCGCAGCAGGGAGCTCTGGGCACAGGGCGGGGGGGCGCTTCCCCCCCTGCCACTCAGCACCAGCTCCTTCCCTGCTGCCAAGCAGGAGGTCGGGGCTGCGCACTGCCCCCTGCCTGTACTGCAGGGCTGGGGGGGCACTGGGAGTGAGCAGGTGTGGGAGCAAGGCCCACACCCATGTCCCAAGGCAAGTGCCAGCAGGGCCCAGAGCAGGGTGGCAGGAACATGGGGTCCTGGCCGGCAGGGGCTCAATGGAGCCAGGCCAGCTCCCCCCTCTCCCTGCTGGTGCAGCCCAGCCCGGCACCACAGACCCCTGCCAGCCTGCGCCCTGCTCTGGGTCCCACAAGTGCTGGCCCTGAGCCATTGGTCCCAAGATGGTGACCAGGGGGCAGGGCACCTGTCAAAGGGAGAGGCTAACCATGTGGCCCTTGACAGCTTACCACAATTTGGTAAGTGGCCCTCCACCCAAAATAATTGCCCGCCCCTGTCTTAACCCTTGGATTGTCCACACGTTAACACCTTAAAGTGGTTTTAAGTACTCACTATGCAGCTCAAAATTACACCACTCCAGGGCAGGATTATCTTTAATCCGCACTACCCAGCTCTGTTCTATTAAGGTGTAGCCGCTCCGCACAGATGTGCCGCCCAAACTGAAGTCCTCCAGTATCCCAGGATCTGTCACACCCCTGCCCATAGAGTAGGGGTAGAAGGCTGTCCTGGTTCTGCAGCCATCTAGTGGCAACCCACAGCTACAGATCCTAGAGGCCTCTACTCACCAGACATCTAGTGAAAAGTCACAACTGTACAAGTGGTGTACAGTCAGAGAAAGTTTCTAGACTAAGAATGTAACTGCTCCAAACTCCAAGCTAGCATTAACACCAATCAACATTTGTGCAGCTCACAGTATAAGGTGTAAAAAGGCCCTAACATTGTGTGGCAACCCCATAGCACCCTTGAAAGGATCTCAAGGTACCCCAGGGTTCTGGGCTGAAGGATGCTGGGAGGCATGTGGAGATAGTAAAGTGCTAGGAGATAAACAGATATACTAAACTGATAAGCCCAGGCTCAGGCTTGTTCCTGCCTGGATAATCCCCCAAGCCCACTGACAGGACCCTCTGTACTGTAATCTATAAATTCGTTTTTGAAATTGGGTGCCACTCAAATCACAAAAGTTATGGAGGGGTATCATGAGTCCAGAAAGGTTGAGAACCACTGGCCTAGAATAACAGAACTAAATCTGGCTGAGGCCTGTATGAAATACTGAATGATAATTTTTGCATTAAGCTGCTGTATGCCTTTCTAGACCTCTGCTTTGCCTTCTATCTGGCTGTATCTACATGAGTGGTGGACTGTGCAGTTGTTACTGCACAGTCATTTAATACTTGTATAAGTACAGCCTTGCGTTAATACTGCACAGTACCATCACCACAGTTTTTTTCAGATGCTACTGCACAGTAGCATCTCATATAGATGTTTCCTCCTTTGTCTTGCCCTTTGCTTTTAGCTTTTGGGCCTTGAAAAAGCATTTTTCCCCCCAGAAAAAGGTATATTCTTATCTGGAGTTATTTAACATGTGGTAAGCAAAGCCTAATGAATTCAAGGAAATTTGTAGATTTAACACACATTATCAGGCTGAGGCAAACTGTAAAGCCCCCTAGAGTATGTGTCTTCATTTGTTCATTTATGTGACAGCTACAGACTGTCTTATCTTTGCTAGGAATTACCTAATGTTAGCTACTGTGTGTCAAATAACTCAGAGTTAGATTATACATCTTTTTAAGGAAAACATGCCTTTTAATGCATGGACTGTACCTGAGAAAACCTTTGTATAGTGCCTAGCATAACAGGGCTGCGATCTCAGTTGGGGCCTGTAGGCTCTCCTGTCATAAACATACTGTGCTGTATAAAAAGTTTTGCTACCAGGAACAGTCCTACTGAAAAAAATCAAGTCCTAGAACATTTGCAGAAGGCAAATGCCAAGAAGGTACAAACACAGCTGAAATGTTTCTGATTTATTATTGGAATGAACACGTGGTGGGGGGTGTTAAAAAGGTTTTTCAGCTGTCTTGTAGTAAAGCTCTGCCTTGAGCTAGAGCATAAGAACCAGCAAGCTGTTTCCAGACAGTACAACTGAGAAGTGTAGGTTCCCTCTACAAGGTAAGTCCTGAAGTGAAGAGAATAAGTAGTAGAAAAATAAGATGTGGTTAGCACAGGTGTTATTCATTCAGGTAAAGATTCCTTTTGCTAAACAATGCAATTCAATGTTTGTAAGACTACAAATAAAAAGGAGCAGCTGCTCTGAGAGCATAGCCAATATATGTAGCCAGTTCCCATGCAGTGGTCTTAAAAGATGAGAGTCTACTGGGGTAGAAGGCAGGGTAGATATGCAGCTTACAGAAGGTGCATCTCAACTAGGGTGTCAAACTTGCTTTAAAGGGAGTAAAAGAAATCACATGATCAAGGTGACTAAGAGGACAGGACAACATTTTTATCTATTTCTAGAAGACAGCATTGCATAACTTCCGCATTTTATTTTGTATAGGAAGGTTGGATCCAGCCAGGATCTGTCAGGGCTCATTAAAAATAATTTGATTCTAGCCCCTGTTGCTTTCCCTTCTGCCTGAAAATGAGTGGCAGATTGATTGACAGGGGAAAAAAATAGCAGGACTTTGAGCTGCAGCAAATCAGTACTCTGCCCACATGAACTGAAGAGCAATCTAGAAGCACAGAGGAGCACAGGAATAGGTTGATGGGCAGTAGGATTTCATGGCACTCCTCATGAGCTCTCCAACAAAGGTCCCCACAACCAGCCTGGGAGCTAAAAGCATTAGAATTAGAACTGGAACTTGATTACCAGCCAAACTGTAGACTTCCAGGCTTGTCAAAGGGAGGTTACATTAAAAAGAATGGTTGTACCCCCCATGCTTTTTCCTGCTTTAATGCAGGTAATTCAGGCCTTCCCATCCTGATGACCAATTTTGGGCCTGTCAGGTGAAGGCATCTCCATCAAGAGTTTTAAGATGGGGCGGGGGGGGAGGTGTTCACAAAAGAATGAATTACTATTATTATATATTTAGACGCAATATATATTATTATATACACAGTGCCTTTGATTTAAGGTAGGTGATGGCACTCAGGATGTCTTATATAAGCTGAGAAAGGTATTTGTATGTTTATCACATATTTTCAGTCCAGCAGCCTGTGCAACTGTCCTGCTGTGATATAAGCAAAAAACCATGGACTGCTGGAATAAACAGCTATAAAGAAGTTTAAAAGCTTGCTGTACATATGAAACAGGTTTCCCTGCTGTACTCCCCAAGGCTCTGCTTTGTTTTCCTTATGCTAGGTGGAGCTCTGTTGGATTTCTGTGGGAACTACCATAGATTTACCTTGCACAGTATTTTCTGTTTGGGAAAACTGAAAAAGGTTGACTTCAGTTTATATAAGCACCACCTAGTATTTGGTTTTTCCTCTGATTATTTCTTTACCTTCTCTATCCTTTCGAAGTGCAGACCAGAAATGCTGCTCAGTGCCAGTGCATGTAATAAGCTAGGGATCACAGAAAGGTGGGTCTGTGATATTTTGGTGATTATAATAACTGGGACAGAAGAGAAGCTACAAAGAGAACTGGTCAGCTGTCTAAATGGGCTTTTATCAAAACTTATGAAAAGGTTTAAATTATGTGCAGTAATGGGACTGACAGGCTGAAAATAAGGACTGCTTAAATAACCAGGGGTCCAGCTCTGCTGTTCTTCATCATACATAGTGGACGTGTCTACACAAGACATTTAACTTCGGATTAGAGCAAAATACTGTGCAGTAAACATCACCATCTACACGTGCAGACACTTACTGTGCAGTATTTTGCTTTAAAATTGAGTAAATTTGCTATCTGTAAGTACAAGTAGCAGATTTACTCGGGAGTAATTACTGTGCAATACGGCACATGTGGACAGCCAACCAGGAGCAAATTTAGTCCCAGACCGCTGGGCATCATGGGGCTGGAGACTGCTCCCTGCCCCCAGGAGCTGCCTGCTTCTGGGGCAGGCTCTGCCACCAAAGCCTGGGCGGGGACAATATCTCCCAGCCCCAACTTGGTGATGGTGATTGTGGAGTTGGGGCTGAGAGATGATTGTTTGCTGCTGGCTCTCCTACCAGTGGATCTGGGAAGGGGGCTGGGACCTGTCCCTCCTCTGCAGCTCTTTCCAAGCCCCTTGTCCACAGCTGGGGAGCTGGGGCTGGGAGCTCCCTGCTGCCAGCTCAGGGCAACATTGTCTCTGCCCGGGCTCCAGTGCCAGAATTGGCCCTAACAGCAGGCAGCTCTCAGGGGCAGGAAGCAGTCTCCCAGCCCCTGCCAGGAGACATCTGTCTCCTGGCCCTACACTCCCACCCAGCCCCTGGGCTAGCACCCAGGGGAGCCTAGAACTCCCCCTGGCTGCTGTAGGGGGCTGGTACAGGGCCGGCAGGAGCAGACTGCTGCCATGAGCAGCAAATCTGCTCCCACTTCCCTGCATGTGTAGATGCCTGCCTGGGTTGGGTTTACTCTAGGGTAAATTACTCTAGAGTAAACCCACCCTGGAGCATTTACATGTGTAGATGCGCCCAGTAGCACTTACTGGAGTAATTCCAGTCACTTCACCGAAGCTCTCTGTGAGTAAGCATCAGAGTAAGGACTAAATAATCCCTTCTGACCTGAGAAAATCTTCACAGCATCAATAGTCAACCTGTGGCTCTAAAGCAGTGGTTTTCAAACTTTTTGAGCTGAGCCCCACCTTGAGTTACTATTTGGTTCATGCCCTCCCCGCTCATCCCAGAGGAGCAGTACAGCCAGGCACAGGGCACCCCTCATCCTAGGAGTCGCCATGGCTCAGCCCAGCTCAGCAGGGCAGACTCCATCTGCCACAGCTTCAGTGCCTCCTACCTTGGCCCAGTTGTGGCTCTAGGATATACTCCTGCCACACTGGGCTCTCAGAGGTACAGCAGTCCACTGGCAGAGCTTGCATGGGGATTACTACCCACACATCCCCCCACGAGGCTTCAACAATGCCACCTCCTTGCAAACCCCTTGCCTGTGCCCCCCTGCACTCTGCACCCTCCAACATTCCTTCCTGTCCCCCAGGGGGGTGCGCCCCACCATTTGAAAACCACTGCGCTAAACCTATATATGACATGATCCTTATGAAGTTCATGAGTGTGACACGAGTTTTTCTTGTTTTGCCTGATGTCATGAGAAGTTGCCAGTATCTCTTTTCATTCATTTAAATATACCTGTACACAAGCCAGGAGGCTACTCCAATGCACTGTAATTACAGTGTGTCAGAGCAGACTCGATTAATTGAGTCTGCTGGACCATGGTAATTACCGTGCTCCAGCCAGTCTCTGCATCTTATGTATCAGCATCCCCATGCTTCAAAATGGTGGTGGAGAGTGCTTTAACTCGTTAGATAAAGTGCCCCTGCCACCGTTTTGAAGTGTGGATGCTGACACACACAACACTCTGGGCACCTTAATTGGAGTATGTGTAAAAACACCCTAAGTTCCCACCCTACCCTGCTTTAAATATTTAGATAAAGGGAGAAAGAAGATGTAAGAGACACTCCCCTCCACTACAACAGGAAGATGTAGGGTGAGAAAGGAAGGACAATTCTCCTAACAAAGGTTAATGAGAAGGGAGAGAAAGGAGATGCAGCTTCAAATGCAATTGAAAAGACACAAAGGAATCATGGTGCAGTTTCCCAGTATTATGTTTGCCAGGTTGCCCTTATAATGTTGCATCATTACATTGTGATGGCAAGACTTAAATGTGTAACATACCATCAGATACCTCATAAGAGCACTAACATGCCACAGTGTAGTTATTGGACTTCATTCTCTATTGAACCATCTGGCCATGTCCAGATAAGTGTGACTGTTTGGTTCCCCGGGAACAACCAGCAGTGGTGCACCTTGTGCTGCCGCTAGTTGTCCTCAGGGAATGCCCATGCCATGTGCCATTGGCATGTGGCAGTTTAGCCTAGGTGGGGCAGGCAAAGCTGGGGCCAGCAACTGTGCTGGGGCCAGCAGCCTTACTTGGGGTCCTGGAGAGCTGCTATTACTTGGGGTCCTGGGGACCAGTCTTACTTGGGGTCCTGGGCTATCCTGCTGCTTGGAGTCTGCAGCTCCGGCCAGAGAGGCTCCAGTTTTGAGCAGTGCACACTGCCCCCATGTATGCCGCTCTGCTTTTTTTTTTTTTGCAGGATAGCCAGGGGTCAAAAAACCCCTCACCATGCTGCTCCTTTGCAGTGTGGAGAACAGCTGAACATGTGGTATGTGGTGCTGCAAACACATCTGCAGTGCCACATACTGCACAGCCTCACTCGCCTGGACACAACCTCTGATTCCATTGCAGAGTATAACAGTGCCCTAACCTAAGGATGAGTACTAACACCTTACAATAAGGAAGTATTAGACTTTGGGAATGGCCTAAAAACATTCCTTTACAAGCCCGTGTAAACAACATGGAATTGCTGTTCAGGTGGTAGGAATGCTGATATACTACATGCCCAAAGCATGCCCACCGCTGGCCTGACTCTTAAGGATGCTGGGAGATAAAGACTCATTGTTGGAAGCTTTGCTATATTTACTGGCATTGCGTCAGTAGATTGTTATTTGGCCAGAACAAAATGTCTCTGGGGATTTTAGACATAATTCTTCTTACTGACAGTTGCCTACTTTCCTTAGGAGAAGAAAAGAGATCCCTTCCCTAGAGATCCACCCCTATCCTCCAAGCTAGCCTACATCTGGGTCATCTCTTGACACAGAAGCCTAGACAGTCTCTTTGATTTGCTGAGTTGTCACCACTTTGTAAGTTTGACTCAAAGGCTATGTCTGTCTACACTAAAGAGGTTTCTAAAAGTTCCCCAATACTGTGACTACAGCAGTGTTGATACTGGTGGGAACCCTAGCGTAGCAGTAACAGAATTATTCAGGAATCTCCCCTAGTACATATAGCGCTGGAGGAGAGGAAGGGGGGGGGGGGGCACTTGAAGTTTGTCTCCAGGCTTTTCCCTACCTCAGGAAATCCTTGCTAATTTTTCTAAACCATCACATGGGCAAAAGGTCTATAGAGTGACTCTCTCTACTCCCTTTCTCTTCAAACACACCTAGAGCTCCCTGCTTCATATATCCAGCTTAAGAGAGATGGACATGTTTTCCCTCTGTGATGGTAGCTCCTCTTTATTTCGTTTTACCTTCTGATTACCTACTACAGCTGGGTGGTCCAGGCTTGACACTTCTAATAGACATCACAGGTCAGTCCAATTTACGTGCCTGTCTCCAGATCAAACCATTAACTTCTTTCCTGCTAGGCTTAGTGTGAAATTTATATGCTTAGTCAGTCTTTCTGTGGTTCTCAGCTTAGCTGTGTGTTTCTGGACTGAAGATGCTGCTTCAAGACCTAGTGGCATCAGGATGCTGTTTTAAGAACATATGCACAGTGTCACCAGGAGCTAATACCTCCAAAGATTCTCAGAAATGTGAGATCAGCCTTTATAATGAGAAAAACCCCTCAGACAGGAAAAAAAAGGCTGCTAATTTGTTAACTAGGAGGAATAAAACTTTACATTTTCTTTTTCTGCATCTCTTGATTGAGTGGGAGATGAGTTTTTCTCTCAAAGCTTTCACATTGCAAGACATCATGGCGGTATCTGAGCACCTTCCACCTGAAACAGCAAAGTCTCTAGTGAACTTCATGGAGTCTCTGGCACTTCTGGAAACAAAATTGCCTGCAACAGTTTCTCTGCAAGAAAAAAACAAACGTGTGAACCTTTGAGTGTGTGTGATCACTCTTGCAATTTCATCCCATCTCACAATATTTAGAATTTCCCTTTACACTATGGTAGCACTGAGGCAAGAGCACAGGGCTTTTTCACAGAGGGGTAACAAGCTGTTTTTGTAGCCTGAGCTGTGGCAGTGGTCAGGGAAATGGCAGTCGCCACTGCCAATCTTGTTCCCCTTTTAAATGTTTGGGGGTGGTACCCTGCTCACCTACCCCTACTGCTCTTCAGACAAGTGTAGATCACATCCCCAGCACTTCTGGGGAATGCTGCTGTTGAGTACCCATCACCTACTTGTCCTCTTTTGCAAGCTTGAAACATAAAATGCTGCTTAGTTCTACAAAAAATGTTTGCTAATTAGATCTGATATACATTTTTGGCTCTAGCTGCCAGATGGGCAAAGTTGCCCTGGTATGCCAAGGTTGAGCTCTATTCTTTTTGATGTGCACATTGTGACCCCTAACAAAAGATTGTGTGATTATAACAAAGTAAACAACTGTGGCCATGACACACATTAATAGAGAACCTAAACTTTCCATTTCACCCCTGAGAATGCTCACAATTTCCTCAACACATTTGAAATGCAGAAACAGTGTCAAGTTAGCAAGTAAAAAAGAAAATACAAGCCATTTTGTAGCAGCTCCATACTTTATCTTCTTTTCTATTCTATTCTATTCCTTTATTGCACTCAGCTCCCTGGTGCTTGAGTGTATTCATAATGCAGTACAGATTTTCTGCACTGGAACAGTAACATAAAAAAAGAAGAAAAACCTGTGAAAGGAAGCAGTAATATCATTATTTCACAGGAATTACTTAAAGTGAAGCAATGTAAGCTTCTTTTGATGTATTTCATATGGTCAGTCAAGTAATGGAATTATATTTAAGCCAAACAGTTTCTTGCAAGTGTTTATTTTTCATAAACTCAGCATTTTCATGAAGAAAAATCGTGCCAGGCAGCATCTTCATCCCACATACTTTCAAATTCCCTCAGGATATAAGGGCTGGCCTCATTATTCAAATGAGGTCAGAAGAAAATTTCCATCTCTTTGCACTTATCTTGCCATCTTACAAAAACTAGCAGGCAGACAGAACGTGAGACACATCAGAGAATTCTTCAACAAGTTGTGCCTACGTGGCTTTGTTGGCTATGAGCCAATTAAGGTCATACATATGAGCCTGAAGATTTCTCTGTGTGCAACATGGTTTTCTGCATAGAACTGCTCAGACTAACTTGGTGGATCCTTTGCAACCCAACTGCAAATTGTGGAAAACTCAGATTGAAACCTAAGAATCCCAGCTAAAAACATGCTTTAATGGTAAAGTGGAATTACTAAGGATATGTCTAGATGACACACCTAGGATTACTTGGGGGGGAAGCCCTTCATAGTGCAATGTATTTAAAATAGGCATGCCTAAAATACATATTTTAAAAATCCATCTAACTGCACAACTACACAACATGCTGAGTGCATGTAAAACAGTGAGCAGTATATAAGTGAATGTATAAGATAGATATGGATGCATTTATGCTTTGTGTACATGTATCAAATATAGCATATCCTGGGTACGTTTTCATGTGATGCTACATTGCCATAGCAATGCACTACAGCAATGTAGCGTCTGCAGGCAAGACCATGATGCTGTAGCTACATTGCCATAGCAATGGGCTACCTCGTTATAGCATGTTACTACGGCAAGATAGAGCCTAAAAATAACTGTGCACCATGCACACGGTGCAGTACGGGCTGTTACTGCACCATCGTTTAAAACTTCCAAAAGGAAGTACTGGTGCAGTAATGATGTTGCTATAGCGACATGTGTAGACATGCCCACTGAAGCACACGAGACATTTACTGTGGAATAGACTAATTAGAATCATAGAAACATAGAACCAGAAGGGACCTGAAAGATCATCAAGTCCAGTCTCCTGCTGTGGACAGGAAGTTATTAGGCTCAGATGAGCTCAACAAGGTGCCTATCCAGCCTCATCTTGAACAACTCCAAGGAGGGTGACTACACAACCTCTGCTGGGAGTGTGTTCCAGATTCTGGTGACCCTTACAGAGAAGAAGGTTTTCCTTATATCCAACCTGAATTTACCCTTATTAATTTATGCCCATTGGTCCTCATCCTCCCTTGAGGTGTCCTCCTGAATAGTTGCTCTCCTAGTTCTTGATGCTCTGCCCTGATGTACTTGTAGGCAGCTATCAAGTCACCTCTCAGCCTTCTCTTCCTCAGACTGAACAAACCCAGTTCCCAGAGTCTCTCCTCATAGAACCTACCCTCCATGCCCTTAACCAAACATCTGGCCCTTCTTTGTAGCCTCTTGAGCTTATCTACATCCTTCTTGAAGTTCAGTGCCCAGAACTAGGCACAGTACTCCAGCTGAGGTCTCACCAATGTCGAATAGAGAGGCAGGAGTACCTCCCTAGATCTACTGGTCACACATCAGCTGATGCACACCAGAGTTTTGTTTGCCCTTTTGGCAGCCTTGTTGCACTGCTGGCTCATATTCATCTTCCAGTCAATGGTGACCCCAGGTCTCATTCAGAAGCTGTGCCAGCCAGTGGACCATCGCCCATTGTATATTTGTGGTAGGGGTTCTTCCTAACCAGGTGAAGGACTTTGCACTTCTCTCTGTTAAACCTCATCTGATTTTGTTTTGTTCTGCCCATAAATCCAGTCTATTAAAGTCATCCTGGATCTTTGCCTTATCCTCTGGTGTGCCTGCATTTCCCCACAGCTTGGTATTGCCATGCTGGTTGCTTTTTAGCACCCCATCCATTACCAGCTTGTAGTTGATGGCCTCCTTAACCAACTTTTCAAAGATTTTACCCAGGACTGAGGTTAGACTGATCAGTCTGTAGTTTGCAGGGTCATCCCTCTTCCCTTTCTTAAAAATGGGCACCACATTGGCCCTCTTCCAGTTGTCCGGGACAACTCCTGAGTTTAACAACTCTTCAAACAACTTGGCCAGTGGCACTGCTATACATTTGGCCAGTTCTTTCAGGACTCTTGGGTGCAGGTTGTCAGGCCCAGCAGACTTGAAAATGTCCAAGCATTGTAGAAGATCCCTCACCTTTTCTGGGCTGATTTCCATGTAGGCTGTTACCTTCCCCCTGTTCCCTGGGCCTCTGGTCAGGTAAGCAGCCTCCGTTGGGTTTCAGGAATACCAGGGCAAAGTATATATTTAGTAGTTCTGCCTTTGCATGGGCATCAACTGCGGGCTGCCCCTGGGTATTCAGTAGGGGTCCCACAATGGAGCCCGATTTTTTTTTTTTTTTTTTCCTTGCTCCCTCTGTATTTGTAGAAGGACTTTTTGTTGTCTTTTATACTGGTTGCCAGTTTGATCTCCATACCTGCCTTAGCTTTCCGTGTCTCTCATCTGCAGGTCCAGGTGACACAGGTGTATTCCTCCCTGGTTGCTGAGCGATTCCTTCATTGCATATTGTAACAAGTGGGCATCCCAGGGCCAATTTCAGTATAGGTCCACCCACTTGTTTCTGGGCTAGCCAGCCACCCATCTCGCCTGCCATGCTTTGATGTTCCTGATTGTCTGATGTTAATCAGGTGGGAGGCTGCCCTTTACCTGTCCTGCTGACAAGGGCCTCTGTACACGCTCTGGCCTCCCCTTGACATGTCCCATTCCTCACAGATGTTTCATATGGCCTAATAACCAGCCTCATCATCACATGGCTTAACAACCAGCCTCACTATCACACAGTTTAACAACCAGCCTTTTCATACACTGGGATCCCAGCCCTATCCCTGGCCCTATCAGCCCCTGCCATAGGCTCTAGGCCCCGTCCTTGGGTTCCAAGCTCTGTCCACAGGCCACAAGCCTCTCTTGACTCTTAGCTCTGTCCTTGGGCTCTCAAGCCCCATCCCTGGGCATCAAGCCTGCCCCATCCTTGGGCTCCCAAGCCCTGTCCCCAGACATCCCATCACTCTCAGGACCCAGACCCCCTCACTGGGCTCCAAGCCGCTCTCTGTCAGACTAGGGCTTTAATCCCTTTCCCTCCTGGAGCCTAACACCCAGCTTCCAGGTCCCTGTTAACTCTGGAACCGCACACCTGGTTTCCACATCCCTGTTATAGATAAACCCACCAGGGATGTGGGGGCTGGGGTTATCAGGCACCCCTATCCACCTTTCACTGGGGAGGTAACTGTTTTGGCATTTATTTAGAGCTACCCCGCCACAGATTTCATAGTTTCATAGTAGGTAGGGTCAGAAGGGACCTAAACAGATCATCAAGTCCAACCCCCTGCCATGGCAGGAAAGAATGCTGGGGTCAAACGACCCTGGCTAGGTGATTGTCTAGCCTCCTTTTGAAGACCCTCAGGGTAGGAGCGAGCACCACTTCCCTTGGAAGTTGGTTCCAGATCCTAACTGCCCTGACTCTGAAGTAGTGCTTCCTGATGTCTAGCCTGAATCTACTCAGTCAACTTATGGCCGTTATTCCTTGTTACTCCTGGTAGTGCTTGGGGGAACAGGGACTCTCCCACTGCCTGCTGGTCCCCCTTGGCAAGTTTATAGATGGCCACCACAGCCCCTCTCAGCCTTCTCTTGTGGAGGCTGAACAGGTTCATGTCCCATAGCTTCTCCTCATAGGGCCTATCTTGCTGCCCCCTGATCATGTGAGTGGCCCTCATTTGGACCCTCTCGATGCTGTCCACATCCCTCCTGAAGTGCAGCACCCAGTACTGGATGCAGTACTCCGACTGTGGCCTGACCAACATTGCATAGAGGGGGAGGATCACCTCCTTGGACCTGCTCATGATGCATCTATAGATGCATGACAGGGTGCGGTTAGCCTTCCTGACCACGTCCCCACATTGGCAGCCCATGTTCAGCTTGGAATCAATAGTGCCTTCACGGTCCTTTTCAGCCTCTGTGATGACAAGAAGGGACCTCCCCAGCCTATAGATATGCTGCTGGTTCTTCCTCCCCAGTTGCAATAACT